AAGAAAAATACCTATATTTAAAACAAATAAGAATAAACTACTTGAAGATACCAGGCAACTAAGAGAAGAATCAGATTAGAAACTCAGAGCCAGATGTGGTATTACACTCCCAGCACTCAGGGATATGAAGCAGGAGGATTGCAAATTTGAGCCAGCTTGGTCAACTTAGTGACTTAGGAAGATCTTGTCTCAAAAAAAGGTTAAAAAAATGGAGGGGCTGGGGATATAGCTCAGTGTGAAGGCCCTGTGTTCAATCCTCAGTACTGGAGGAAAGCAAAAACAAAAATAGGAAGGGAGAAGCCACGGAACAATGGTGTGTATCAACCTCCTTAAGCAGAGTACGAACACTAGCAACTGTGGGAAATATGGTTCCAGGCCAGAATGCAAATGTTATAAACCTTCAAAAATAAAAATATTTGTCAAATCATTATTTTTCTGATATAGGGAGAAATGGAAAAATAGCAAAACTATACTATCAATATATTTTAAAATGGAAAAATAGTGATTTTTTTTGCAAAAGAAAAAAAAACTCATTGAAAGTAGTTTGAACAATGTTCTTGCCTTGCTGACTTTGTCATTGTATTACTTAAAATATGGAGCAAGCATCTTTTCTATACTTGAATTGTCATACTTATTTCCAAATTTGGATTAACTTCAAACATTTTATACTTCACTCTTTTAGTGTCATGAAATATCTCTAGAAGTTCTTTTAATAGGTTTTATTCAGACATTACTTCCTCTGTGGCATCTTCATTTTTTTATGTCACAACTATTTCCTAAATTTATGTCAGTAATTTGGCCTTCACTGTTTCCCTGCCTACATATCTGTAGAGATTTTTGAATGATGGCAGTGGTAACATTCCCAGGTAAGCCATTTCTTCTATAACCCCATTTGTGTTTGTGGCGGTTAGGTGGGGTGTCAACTTGATTTGCTTTGGGATCTGCATGGGAGTTTGGTGGAGTGCACTTTGCTGTGTCTGGGTGGGTCCTGGACTCATGTCTTTGGGTATTGTACATAGTCTCTGGCCCCTTCCTTGCTGGCACAGTTCCCCTTTCTTTGCTTCCCTGCTACCATGTACTAAGCAGCTTTGCTCCACCATGCCCTTTCACTATTATGTTCCTACCTTAGTGCCAGCATACCATGGACTAAATTCTCTTAAAACACACTCAAATCAAACCTCCTCCTTTAAGTTGTGAGTGTAGGGTATTGTAGCCAACAACAGGAAAAGTTGATTAATACAATATTTAATTTGAATTTCACTTCCAGTATTCTTATTTTTCTTTTTTCTTTGGTTTTTTGCTTAACTTTCATCTTTGTTGGCTAATTCCCTTTTTGCTCTCCATTTTTATAAACTGTTGTGTTAGTTATTTCTCTTGTTGCTGAGGGAAAGGGGAAAGCGTTTATTTGGCTTATAGTACTAGAGGTTTCAGTCCATAATCTGCTCTAAGGCAGGGCTGTAGAGGGTCAATAGTCCATGGCAACAGAAGCAGCAAAAGCAACAAGAGACCTTAACAGTGTCTTTCTGCCCCTTTGATCTTATTCGGACTACTGGGATTTGGGCGGTGCCAAACCAATCACTCACATAGAGTGGTTTAGTAATCACACACCCTTAATCCTAGTATCACACACTCTAGATTCACCCACCTCTGAAAAAGACTGCATGAAGCATTGGGGGGAGATCAAGACACAAGCCAGGACAACTGTCATGTAAGCTGATTCTTGCTGAGTGACAAGGCACATGACACACTTGCTGTCGATGTGTGAATTGAAGAACACGTGTATGGTGATATTCATGTGGCATGAATATATTCATGTATGTAGAGTGATCAATCATTGACAGACTTTGAAAGAAGTAATATGATTGATTGCTGATCATGGTGAGCATCTGTTATTTATATAGTGATTTGTGGACTGAAGAACTAGCACTGTATTATGTTGTTTATGCAATATCTCATAGTCAGTATACCAGGATAACTGACATTCGAACCATGTTGTTGAGTGTTTATTTAACTAAGCTATAGTAATTGAAACCTGTGCATAGTGAGACCAGGCAGAGAGAAAACCAAAATAACATAACTGACAAAAGTCCTAAATTGAATGGGAAAAAGTATAAGTATGTTAATTCTATGCTTGTCAGACAGTTAATGTTACCTAAAATTGAAACATATAGTTATGATTCTAACCTCTGAATGCTTCTTATAATCATATCTTACTAAGCTTTCAGAGACCCCTTCTTGGTATAGAAACAATTCAGCAGGTCTTTCTTCTTTCTGTCCTTCGTATTAAGGTGGGAATATTCTAGTCCAGTTTCATAGAAGCAGTTACCCAATTTAAAGAACCCAGTTCTGGCTTATGGCCATGTATGTACGGTCAGAGTATCAACTCCCGTATCTTTTGGGCATCACCATAACTCTCACTGCAGCCTGTCTTTATTTCTAATATCTCTGTTGTGGCTAGTGCAGCTTTATCTTTTCACTTGTGGTACTTTAAAATTTCTTTCTTTTCAAACTCAGTTATTATTAAATACAATTTTAAAATAATTCAGCATTTTATTGTGTTTATATGAGTAGGAAAGAAGATTTGTACATGTATTTTATTACCATCTTGACTGACTATTAACTGTCATGGTCATTCTTTAAACAAAAAAATCCCAGTAATCTGAACTATAAAGTACCTATTAATAAATATTGAGACATGAGAGACCTATAAGAAGAAACTGAATTCATAAAAGAAGATTTGAATTAATATAGTGATGAACTATATTCCTAGATGGGAAGAGTCAGTTTGCAAAGATTACAGTTTTCCCCAAGTTATGTTCTTGCAATTAAAACTTCAGTGGCATTTGGGGGAAATGTAAAAGTTACACAGAATAAATGTTGAAAAGCACGTTGGAGAGATAGAGTAATTACGGTAATGGTTCTGGCTAGGAATGAGTAGCTAGGACTGTAGAATAGAATAGAAACTACAGAAAAATGTGTTTGTGATAATTTTGAACAAAGAAATCTGGTATTTCAAGCAATTAGGGAAAGAATAGATTCTTTAAAAAGTGGCATTTGGGGCCAGGGATTTAGCTCAGTGGTTTCGCTGCCTGCTGCGCAAGCGCGAGGACCTGAGTTCGATCCCCGGTACCAAAAAAAGACAAAAAAGTGGCGTTTGGGAAATTGACTATTTTGGGGAAACAATTGACATTAAATCCCTATTTCACATTACAAACAAAAATAAATTCCAGGTAGACTAAATCTCTAAATATAATATAATATTATATATATATATATATATATAAAAGTTTCAGAGGCCTGGGGTAGCTTTGAAAAGTGTGCCTGAAATCCAGAAACCATAAGAAAGAGACTCACAGATTTAACTACACATTTAAAGCTTAAGGTGAACACACCATAAACAAAATCAAAAGCCAAACAAAAGACAGGAGAGGAATATTTACCATATGTAACAAAATGTGTAAGTCTCTTTTGGTAAAACAACAGCAAAAAATAAACAATAGAAAAATGGACAAAGGGCATAAACAGACATAAAAAGTAATAGCAATGGCAAATACAAAAAGATGCTTGTCCTTATTAATTCTGCAACTTGAGTTAATATTTTCTATTAAAATCCAGGAGACTTGCAAAATTGAAAACGTCAATCATCTCCTGTGTTAGTAAGAATATAATAAACTAAGTTTGGTAGTATCTATCAAAAATTATCCATCCCCTTGATTTACAGATCTGTTTTTAAGTAATCCACAGAAATACTAGCATATGTATGAAAGATGTATACAGATATTTCACATTTAATGACCTACCTGTTTAACTGCTATTAGGACTTACAGTCGAGGCACACTGTTCGGACTTTCAGCCTATCTTTCCTTTTTTTTTGTACAGTTCTGTACATCTTGTTTATAGAGCCTCAATGTCTTTTTTGTATGGTCCATGTTGTTTATACAGTACTGTAATTTTTACTGATTGTATTGTGCAGTACAATACTGTATTTTTAATGTTCTGTTATACAAGAGTTATTAAGAGTTATGCAAATAAAAGCAAAGTCATCAAGTTGGAGTTTCCTTCGACCATTTCTTTGTTCTGAATATTGTAATATAATTCCTCATTTAGTGACCAATTCAATTAACGACCTAGTCACAGGGACATAACTTGGTTGTTAAACAGAATGTCTGCTAGGCACACAGTTGTACAAAAGATTATATATATGTGCACATGGATGTTTATTGCAGCATTATTTATATGGTGAAAAATTGAAATCAACCTCCAAATGTATCAATACAGAAATAAATAAATTTTAGCATATTCATACTGTGGAATACTGTGAGGAGCAGGTACTTTTAAGGATATAGGCTGTGGTGTTAGGTTATCTGGCTTAGAATTCTAAATCCATTGTTTACTAGATGTATGACTTAGGGTTACATAATTTCTCTGGGCCTCAGTTTTCTCATCTGTGAAATGAAGATAATTGAATGTAATTCAGAGGGTTGTTGCAATAATTAAATTATAAAGTGTATAGAATTGTGCTTAGAATATAAATACTCAATATTACCTAATGTCAAGTTATCACTTTGCAGTTATAAAGTAGACCTATAACATTCTATCATGGAAAGACTCATGATTTCAGTAAATGAATTTTAGAGCAATATGTCCCTATAGCATAAGTAGCATAAGTATATTTTTGTAAATAAAAATTTTAAATGATATTTGAGCATATGTGCATATATTTGAATGTATATGAATAAATGTAGTAACCTCTGGGGAGTGAGATTAGGGGAGGGATATCAAATTATCAATTTTTAAAAGGATTTTTGGGTACTGTTCAAATTTCTTCAAGCATGTACTGTATTTGTGTTTAATTTTTTTAATTTTCCACAGACTATGTAATATAACTTTTGACTGACCTTCTTTTTATGTTATTTTTAAACTATGAAAAGGTCATACTCTCTACATGATGTATACTTTTGCTCATTTTCCTTAGTAACTTATTAAGGTTTTCTTTGTAGGAACATGCTTACCCAGCAGATGAACTCATGCCTTTAACCTGTAGAGGTCGTGTTAGAGGCCAGGAGCCAAGTCGAGGTGATGTTGATGATGCCCTGGGAAAGTGAGTATGAGCATGGGGTGGCATTTCAAAATACTGGTAGACATTTTGGAGGCAATTTACAGTCATATTTCTGGGCACTGGCTAAATTTTAAAGACTGCTTTAAGCACTGCATTAAGCTTCTTTATTCCTTTTTATTATCTTTTGCAAAAATTTAAACAGTTTACCCATTAGGTCAGAGAAAAGTTAGTTAATCTGGATGTAACTTTTAAAATATGTGTAAATTTAAAAAGGTATGCGAAGTCATTAACACATGATGAAGTTTTACTACTTTAATATTATTTTTTAAAGAGCTAATGAATGTTTCTATGCATCTTCAAAGATGTAGAATTTGTTAAGGCTTTTCAGATTCCTTCAGTATTTTATAGGTTACATTGTACATTGCATACAAGTAACTACTAGTTAATAGAAAGTACCAGACAATTGGATGTAGATAAGTCAGCTTAAACATTCATGGATAAAATATTTAGAATTTTAAATTTTGTGTCTTGTTATACCTTTTTCTTAGATTTTCCCTGACACTGATTGATTCTTTGGATACTCTTGTGGTAGGTTTGATTCTTCTTGGATTTACTTATTTTATAAGTATCATATTATGCACACTCAAGTATTATAAATTTAATCAACACAATAAGTATGAAATGGAAGACTTCAGAATTTAAAATGTTTATTTGCTTCTAAATAAATATTTCACATGGTTGAGGTCATGATGCCAAGTGAATATCAAGTGTAATTTTGTTCATTAATGGTAATACCCAAATAATTTATGGGGATATCAGCTTCTCTAATGATATTCAGGAAGGTCCCTCCCACTTTTTTAAAAGGATGGTTGAAATCAGAAGAAAGTAATTTTGGAAAATGCCATTGTGATTCTTGTGCCATAGTGATATGCTGCAATAATACTGAAATTGTTAAACTAGAATCTTTTGAAAGTGTTGATAAATGAAAACTTATTTTTCCCAGCAGTGATTTTTAGCAACAAATTAATGACTTCTTGGCTTTGTCAATCTCATATGATGAAGCAATTAATTTTGATGTATTCTGTTTCAGAATTGTTCATAATGACACAGGGATAGGTTGAGTTCCAGATGTCATGATTTCTAAATATACTATGTCTTTAGTATTTTACTTTTAGATATTTAGAATATAAAAGTAGGCTTGTTTAAGGATTTTCCCTAAGCCATAATTCTTAACTTTGAATTAATGCCCTGTGTGCTGATTAATATTTAAGAAAAAAACATCTGTGTGCTGATTAATATTTAAGAAAAAACATCTAGAAAATTTTCAGTGCCAGGTTTTACTTCCTGATACTGTTTCTATATTCTTTTTTCTCTGGGCCAATTTTAGAACAGAGATTCTCAAATCTTAATAGCCTCTTAGGAAGATCACCTGTGATGTTTAAAAAAAAAATTCCTGCCCAAATTATTCAATTTAACTGTTCTGGGTGAGGCTCAGTATTATTATTTACTCTTCTAAAGTTTCTCTTTAGTTTTAAAATGAAGCCATAAATGAGAAAACTTTGGTTGTTTAGACTTTTTTTTTTAAGCCAAGATCTTGCTATATAGTTCACCCTGGCCTTGAACTCACTATGTAGCCCAGGCAAGCCTCCTGCCTTAGCCTCCTGAGTGCTGGGATTACAGGTGTGAGCTACCACCACGCCTGGCCATTTAGATCTTTTTAGCTGGGTCACAGTTTTGAAAGCCACAGCTTCATTTCTCAGAGATTAATGGAATGTGTAAGCTACATTGTAATAACTATGAAAAAATATTGTATGTTTTTTTTGTTTGTTTTGTTTTGAGACAGGGTCTCACTATGTAGTTCAGCAGGCTGTCCTTGAATTCACTATGTAGACCAAGCTAGCCTAGAACTGGAATCCTCCTGCCCCAGTCTCCCAAGTGCTAGGATTACAGGTGTGCACTACCACACCCAGCTTGTATGTTTTACTTTTGGTTTAGTGGTTCTAAGTTTTCTGTAGATCACAGGGGAAGAAAAAAAGACAAAATATCCTGGAAGACACAAGTGATCACCTGGGAGAAGCTAAGTGGTGTGGTTGCTGGGTAATTCACATCAGGTCTACTTTGGTCTGAGGGAGCAGAGGAGGAGCAGAAACAGTGCTTGGATAGACCATAGGTACACTTACCTCTCTTTCTCATTGTTATCTTAGATGTGTTCTTCCACATCATGTTTCCCCATCATTTCTCTATAAATTCCTAATTGATTTTCATGAACTTGGACCTCAGAAATCCTATGTGTTTTGTAAAAGATGATCAGAAGTGAAGGAGAAAAAGTGGTTCCAGGTTGCATAAATTTCCTATGTTTAGAAATCTGTTGTTCTGTCTGATTGGGCAGCCATTAGTTATTTTGAAGATTATATCCTTCAGGCTATTCCTATTAAACACTTCGGCACTGATTCTAAAATAAGGTTTCTGGGCCAATAGCATCAGTATTGCTTAGGATCTGTTGAGAAGTACAGGATATTCAGCTTTATTCCAGACATACTGGATCAGAAACTCAGGCCTAGCAACCTCATTGCGAATAAGCTCCTAGGTGATTCTGATAATATGCTAATTTTTGGAACTGCTGCATAATGATGCAGTATTTTTTGATATATACTTTTTATTATTTTAAAATCAGTTATCTCAGAAGCTAATGTGAGAAAATAATTTTGTTTTTTCTTTTTCTGTTTTAAAAAATGGAACAGAATTTATTCAAGGGCTCTAGAGGACATCATAGACTCTTCAGAAGTTTGCATGGCCAAGCTTGTGCAGGGTTCAGGAGCACATGATTACAGTCCCTGCCAGTGAGCTTCTACTGAGACTTGCCCTCTCCTCCCCAGTGTCATGGCACTCTGGGCCCTCCTGTGTCTACTGCTATGATTGCTATAGTCTCTAATGACCTCTGCAGGCTTCCTGCTTATTTGTGTCACCAGCTTCCCATTGAGAATTGGGGGTAGGGCCTTCTGTTTATGAAGCCGTATCCTCTTTTCAAGTGTGATGCATAGGCCAGATCATCAGCTACCCTGGGAGCTTGTTAAAGTGCCAAACATGAGGCCTCAACCCAAGGATTGGGAGAGAATCTGATGAAGAACTTTTAAAACCAGTATACCTAAGTCACTGGGAAACCTGCTAAAATGTATTCTAATCCAGTAGATCCAAGATGGGGCCTAAGAGCCTGCATTTCTGCTAAGATGCCTGGTGGTTCTGAGCAGACCACACTATGAGTATTGAGTCTGGTAATCTGTGTTACTCCTTACAGCAGAGAGGAACAGAACAAGAGGTGATCACATGATACTGATATGTGTGACCTTGACCGAATTATTTAACTTTCCTGGGCCTGTTTTCACTTCAGAAGGGCCTGCAATGGACACATGTCCCTGCTAACTATATTATTTCCTACTAATCTCTGGTTCTGACTCAGATAAGTAATACCTATTTATTGAAGCTGTCTTTAAGAGGAGCCAAGAGTAAAGATCAGTAAACTTATACAAATATTTTTAAATACTTTATAAAATCTTTAAGTTTCAATCTTAGTAAGTGGGAATAACCAGAGCAACTTGTATGTCATCATAGCTTTGAAATGTACAAATTTATTTTGAATTTTCAATCATTATCTTAAACATTTTATTTTAAATTTCAACAGAAGAATTAGAGGAAAATTAAAATACTTTGAAAGTTTTTTTGATATTGGGAATGAATGCTATTTTTTATATTTTGTCAGTATAAACAATATTTTGAATTAACTTTATCTTTGTGATTATTTTTTCATTTTGTGATTTAGCAATTGTAGAATATTAATAAGACATATCACTTATAACAGTGCACATAATCTTACCATTTTTATTTTGGTTACACCATGATGTATTAAGTAGAATTTCTATTCCTGTATTTTGATCTTCAATCTTAAACAGTTCCAAAAGACAGCTGTCTAGTTTCTATTGATTGTTATGGAGTAATGCACTAAAATGTTCAGTATACTTTTGAATTACCATGAAATCTAGGGGAAAAAATTCAAACAAATTAGATATAATAGAGGAAAAAATGAGACCTGGATTTATCCTTTTTTAGCTAGAATTCTAAGAAACTCTTTAAATAATGGAGCTGTTAGAATGAATTTTCTGGCTAATTTTGGACAGAGGTAACTGCCTACTTTTGCTCTTTTTAGGAACAAATGATATTGGTACTATTCTTGATTGTGTTGATTTTGGGAAAAAGGCCTTTTGTTTTTTTCAGTTTATGAAGCAGCTTAGACCTTAAAGAATACATATGGAAGGAAGTTTAAATATATGTTCAAGAGGGAAAAATTCTCAAGAGATAGACTAGGGAAAAACAAAATTAGCAAAGTGATATTTTTCCTTTCTCTTCTTTCCCTCCCACCCCCCTGTACTAGTTCAGAAGAGTAGGGTCAGAAGAGTAGAAAATTTACACAAATGTAGTATGAGGACCATATGTGTCTGCATTTGGTGCTGCAGAATTTGCATGGAATTTAAGAGAGAAGACAAAGTAGTGAATTTAAAATCAGGTTTCCTACTATCTATTACTCAGGGCCTACCTTAACTTTTAGTTTTTCTTGAAAAACTATATTATGGAATGTTTTGTAACTGTATTAGAAGTCTTAGTGAAAATATCAGATAAAGTAAAAAAAGTACTACAAAATATTATCAGACAAAAATATTAGTCAAATAAAGGTAAATTTCTTTTAATGCATCTAGTCTCTTACATAACATCTAATAATACAGCCTTCATTTAGACTGGAAAATCAAAGCAACCTATGTAATGATAGTGACCCCTTCATGAGTTCATTTTAAGAATCCAGTTTTTAGTTTAGTCAGGATTCTAGACCTGCATGATATTAAACACTTGATAATAAGCACTTATTTAGACATTCTGATACAAGTATTTTATGTGTATTATCTCATTTAAGAAAACAATCTTGTAAGAGTATTTTTTTTAAATAAAGGAACGGGCTCAGGCTCAGAGATTGAAATAACTTGTTTTAGATCACTTGGATAAAACAGGCAGTAAGTGAGAGAACCAGAATTCAAACCAGAACTTACTTTTTTTGCAGTGCTGAGGATCAAGCACAGGTCCTCACATACGCTGTTCTCTTAACCCTAATAACATTTCACTCCCTCTTTAGTGAATAAGACATCCCAGGGGGAAAGATGGTAGCTGTATAGATCAATCAGCTGCAGAAAGAACTTTCTTCTGAGACTAAACATTTCTAACACAGTGCTTGATGAATAGGATGATTGTTTTGTTTTGGCTTGTAAATCAGATCCTAGGAGAGCTCAGTTCAAATAGCTCTGTGTCATGGGTTTTTTTGTTTTATCTTTATCCACAATGCTTAGGACTAGAAGTCCCAAGATTTCAAAGTTTTTTTAATATTCTGAAATGTTGTCATATTGACATAGACTCTAGAGGTTGAGCATCCTTAATCCACAAATCTGAAATGCTCCAAAATCTGAAACATTTTGAGTGGTATCAACATGACAGTCAAAACCCCATAATTTCATGTTTTGGGGCATTTGGATTTCAGAACATTTCAGAGCATTTCAGCTTTTAGAGCAGATTGCATTTTGTATTTTTGGCTTAGAGAAGCTCAAGTCTGTATCAATTCAGTTTTTAAATTTTATTGTATTAGTACATGTGGGCAGTACATAATGTTTACATTTCTTGTGTGGAGTTGGCACATGTACGTAAAACATTTTCATTCCTTTTTTCATCCCCTTTCCCTTTCTTCCTTCCCACCTTCCTCCATCGCTTGATCTTCCTCTTTGAGAAAAAGCTATCTCCCTGCTTCCTATTATCTCTCTTTTATTTTGCTCTTCATTTTTACTTTGTTTCTCATGTAAGAGAAACCATGTGTGTCAGTTCTTTTGACGATTGTTTTAAAGTACTGAAGATACTTTATTATATCTAAGTGTGTAAAGGGCTACATAAAATGTAGAAAGATGCACTTTTTTTTAGTTTTAGATAACATTACATCTTTATGCTTAAAGGATACATTATTTTATATGGGTTACTTTTTTGAGCCTTGAAATATAAATAAGTTGTTTTTAGTAGCTCATTCTGATGATCTTTCTTTTTGACTTGGTAGAAAAGAGTTTTATTTCATAATTTTCTTCTCCTAGGTATTAAATAAAACTAAAGAATTTGAAGATGCAGTGAGAAAAGTTTTAAGAGATGTTAATTTAGATAATGATGTAGTTGTATCTGTCTTTGAAACAAACATCAGAGTTCTTGGGTAAGTATGTAAGTAAGACACTATACCTATAATTTTAATAACAGAAAAGCTTAGGGTATATTATTTAGTTCTTGAAAGCAGTAAGTTTCTTATATTTAAAAGATAAAATTTGGGGTATTCTGAAGCTGTAGGTTAACCCTACATGCTATTAGTCACAGATTGCAAAAGGCTGTGGAAATACAAGTGTCTTTACAAGTTGTGATAAAAAGTACTGTGACTGCTGTTACCAAATACCATCCAGTAGAAAGAAGGGAGGCTGGTAAAAACATTATGGTGTGTTCTCATCCACCTTATTCACTAGATCTGGCACTATGTGATTCCTGGCTCTTCCCCAAGGTCAAAATGACCATGAAAAGTAAACCTTTTGCATTGATTCAGGACATCAAGGCAGCCACAGCAGTGCAACTAAAGACACTCACGAAAGAGAACTTCCAGAACTGCTTCAGAAAATGGCAAGGACAATGGGATAAATCTGTTCAAAACAAAAGGGGAATATTTTTCAGGGGATTAATGGCAATCTATCTTTTACTGTAATACTTTTTTTTTTTTTTTTGGTACCGGGGATCCAACTCGGGACCTTATGCTTGCAAGACAGGTGCCGGAACTACTGAGCTAAATCCCCAGCCCTGTAATACATTTTTTAAGTTTAAACATTCACTGTATTTTTAGATCACATCTTGTAGTTGTAGACACAAACCAAGAAAATGCCCGTGTAAGGTTGAACATTTGTTACATTAGCTCATCACAGCTTTTTCATGAGCTTTAACATGAAAGTATCTCTGCAGAGAAGCCAAATGAAACTGAATTTATAGGATTGCCTCTCAACTAAACAACTTGAAATACTCCTTGAGATATTTAAAAATGTGAAGTTAAAGGATTTATTACCTCATTTCAATATTGGTAATTTTTTATATTAATGATTACTTTTGTGATATACTCATCTCATTTTATCAAAGTAAGTCTTCACTTTGGTTAAATATAAAAAGTTACTTAGCTTTTCAGAGTTTATTAATCCATTACTTTTTTTTTGGTACTGGGGATCGAACTCGGGTCCTTGAGCTTGCTCAGCAGGCAGCGAAACCACTGAGCTAAATCCCCGGCCCTAATCCATTACTTTTAATAGAGTAAGACTTTTTTTTGTTAAACTAAGCGGGTTAAATAGTTCATGGCGATACAATTAAATTTTTAAATTTAAAATTCGTTAAAATTGATTTATCACATTTGTTAAAATAAATGATGCCTGTGATATTCTTTGTTTTAAGCAAGTTTAAGGTGTTTATGAATGCCAGACACTTTACAACATAGAGCATCTGATTTTTAAAGTATGTTGACTGTGTAATTATGATAGTTTGCCATAAATGAGTAGCCAGCAAAGAACTAAGGTCTTCCGTAGTCTTCCCTTACGTATGGTAAATTGTTCATAGCAAAATACTCACACCTTTTTAGATAGTGACTTTTAATTATCTGGAAGATATGGATAATGTGTTGTCTCTGTGATTATAGAGGTCTTTTGGGTGGACACTCACTGGCAATTATGCTGAAAGAAAAAGGCGAATACATGCAGTGGTACAAGGATGAACTTCTCCAAATGGCAAAGCAGTTGGGTTACAAACTTCTGCCAGCTTTCAATACTACCAGTGGCCTTCCTTATCCAAGAGTAAGTAATTCTGAAAAAGTACAATAGTCTTTACATACTTCCTTTGCTGTTTTAAAGTGACTTTTTGTGAACAAAACCATTGTTCCTTACTTGTTTGAGGCTGGAAAAAAATGTTTCAAAGCTATATAACAAATTTATATTGACATTTTAATCAAATTATATTTAGAAGATGTGAGAATTAAATTAATTTAAGTTTTACTATGTCTCAGCTTAAGAGATTATGCCGCAAAAGGGAGAAACAGGTGCTATACTGGAACTTTGGCCAGAATTGTTTGTGCTGAAGTTACAGTTGAAGCAGTGAGAGCAGGTAGGCCTTACTCTCTGAAGGAGAGGATACAAAGAGAAAACAGGACTGAGCAGGCCATGAGAAGGAAGTAGAGCTGTTGAGGAGAGCATTCAGAGATCCAGGAAACAAACCATGATGTAGTGGATAGTATTATAACATCCAAACAGAGGAACTTCAACAGGCAGAGATATTCTAGAAAACTGGAACAGATTTGGGTACGAACAGAGCCTTGAATGTTATAATGTGGTAGATTAAAGAGGGGGAAAAGATTCAAAGTAAGTGAAAAGTAGGAATGGACCACTTACTTGTTGTGGGATGTTTTCAATGTTAGTAGTTAAAGGAGACTTGGCAGCAGAGTCAGTTGAATATTTTTTATTTTTCCAAAAAGACAATTTTATATTTAAAGCAGAGGGAAAGAAGCCATTGCAGATAAAAAGAGCTCTTCTGACTTATTTCATTGTTTATTAACACTATTACTATTTCCCTCTTAGCCAAGATTACCAAACTTTATCATGTTTTTCTTTTCTTATTTTTTCTATATTGAAGTCAATATAACTTTGTATTATATTTATTCCTACACTACTATAAATGCCTAATTCTTTTCTTTCTGGTTTATGATTCAGGTCATTTGGAAAATTAATATTACTAAAACAATTTTTGTTGAAAATAAAAATTTTATTGACTGTTGTATTGAGTTTCCTTTAACGTTCAGAATTCTTTGTAGTTTGGAAGCAGACTTTCTTTTTCCCATACTCTATACTCCAGTGAAATCTGTTTTCTGTCCCAACCAAAACATTCTATAGTGTTCCCCAAAAACTAAGGTTTTTTGTCCATTCCATGCTTTTAGGCTCTATTTCTTGGCATAACTTCTCTACCAATACAAATCAAATAAGGCTCATTTCCTCCTCAAGAAGTCACCTTGAATAGGTAGACAATACAGCATGATAGAGGATGGTGTTGTACAAATTGAAGGTCCCATCCCATTCATTTACGCACCAATTTAGTTGGTTATCACCAGCACTTTAACTTCAATGGAAAGGACTAGATTTAAATGTCTAATTATTTAAATTTCTAGTTTTTGGTATTTTAAATAGCTTTCCTGTGAACATTCCTATATACATCTTTTTATATATACTTCTTATTTCTTCTTTAAGATGGATTTCTATAAGAGGGAGTCATAGAGCAGGGGATGCTTTTTCACACTTTAGGTAACTACTGTCCAGTTGCTCTCCAAAAAGATTCTTTTATACTTTACCAGTGTTACATAGTTAACGATGCTTTTTTTTTTTGGTACCGGGGATCGAACTCGGGTCCTTGCACTTGCGAAGCAGGCAGTAGAACCACTGAGCTAAATCCCCAGCCCCTTACCAGTGTTACATAGAAGTGTACGTAACGATTGTACTGTTGCCAACACCATATATCATCATTCTTTTGTCAATAAGAAAAAAATGAAATTGTTTTAATGTGAATTTCTTTATTAGTAAAATTAAATTTGACCTTTTTTCCTATAGCTTATTAAAATTAGAAACAAAGTTACTTTAAGCAATGTATAGACATTTACATAATTGAATTTACTTTTAGTAAATATTTTTAGTTTTTGTTGTAAACAGAGATGCTAGATTTTGAGGCATCAAGCATATCTTTACTTTTACAATTATATGAGAAACAAATATGGAATTGATACAGAAGAAACTGAATATTATAATGAACAAAGAAACATTATTAGTTTCTTACCTCTGAAGTATCAATAAAAAATTTAAACATTTTGAAAGGTGATTACAGAAGAAAATAATTGCTTCCCCTTCTTTCTTTATACACACTTAGTGACTGCTTTTGCTCATGAAAATTTGTGGTCTCTCAGCTATTATAAATTGATATAATTTGCACTAATTTGCATAAATTGAGGAATTCACTAGACAGAAATGATGTTGTAAGAGTTAATGGGCATTTTTCACCTTATATATAAACTTTGTCTATATTTTGGAATGCCATTTCTTTAAAGTTATTAAAAGCAATTTGTCACCTTTTTAAATAAATCTTATTGCTAAGATTGAGTAAATGATATCTATAACATACAGGGTTATTAGGAATCCTACTCATATATACATTATATAAATATATATAAGAATTTTCAGGATGGCTAATAGGCAATATAGGCAATTTATACTTTACTAAATTTGTACCTTGTAATTTATACTTTACTAAAAGGTAAAAACCTTTTAGTAAAAACTTCTTAGTAAAAAAAGTGTGCTTTTTAGTGAAAGGATGGAAAAAATATTCCATGCAAATGGCATCCAAAAGCAAACATAAACATCTATACTCATATCTGACAAGGCAGGCTTATATACAAAATTAGTCAAAAGGAACAAAGGCTACTACATCAGTAAAGGGAACAATCTGCCAAGAAGGTTTACAATTGTAAAATTTATCTTCACGGAACATTAGTGTTCTTAGTTTCATAAAATAAGCAGTATTCAACAGGCCTCAATACAGTAACAAGTGGATGACTTCAGTGTTCCACACTGAACAGTTATTAACAGTTAGGTTGTTGCCCAGACCAAAAAAAAAAAAAAAAAAATCCAACAGTGCAACAACAGAATTACACAACACTGAAGATCAAGTAGACTTTGCAGACATCTATAAAACATTCCATTCAACAGCTGTAGTGTATGAATTATTTTCAGCAGCTCATGGAACTTTCTTCAAAATAGATATTTTACATCATAAAGCAAATTAAGTTCAATAAAAAATTGAAATAATTTCTTATATCTTACCAGACCACAATGGAATAGAACTAGAAATCAACAGTGAGAGAAACCATGTAAATACATGGAGATTGAACAGTTTACTTTTGAATAATCAATGGGTCATTCAAGAAATCAAGGAGGAAATTTTAAAAATCCCTAGAATCAAATGAAAATGGAAATATAACATACCAGAATCTTTGGGATACAGTGAAGGTCATTCTAAGAGGGAAGTTTATACCTGTGAGTGCTATTAAAAACATAAGACAGATATCAAATAAATAATGTAGTGATTCATCACTGGGTCTTAGAAAAACCAAACCAAATGCAATGGAAGGAAGAAATAGTAAAAATCAAGGTAAAATTAATGAAATAGTTTCTATAAGAACAATGCAAAAGATCGATGAAACAGTTGATTCTTTGAAAAGGTGAGGAAGATTGATAAACCCTTAGCCAAACTAGTCAAAAGAAAAAGAGAACCAAATCAATAAAATTAGAGATGAAAAAGGAAATGGTACAACAGACAGCACTGAAATCTAGAGGATCATTAGGGGCTATTTTAAAGCCTGATACTCCAATAAACTGGAGAAGCAGGAAGAATTGGATAAATGTTTAGACACATATAAACCAACAGGATATAAAAATCCTCAACAGATCAATAAGAAGCTATGAGATTGAAGCAGTAATAAAAAGACTACTAACAAGTAACAGGACTAGATGTGTTTACTGCTGAATTTTATCACACTTTTTTTTTTTGGTACCGGGGATTGAACTCAGGACCTTGTGCTTCTGAGGCAGGCGGTGGAACCACTAAGCTAAATCCCCAGCCCGAAGCTAAATCCCCAGCCCCCAGACTTTTAAAGAACTAACACTAATAGTCCTCAGACTATTACGTAAATAAAAAGGGGAGGAATGCTTTCCAAATTCACTCTTGAGTCCTGTATCATACTGATACCAAAACCAGATAAGGACACAACAAAAAAAGAATATTATAGACCAATATCTTTAATGAATATAGATGTAAAAATCCATGCAAAATACTTGCAAACTGAATTCAGCAGTACATTAAAAGGATCATACACCATGATCAGATTGGTTTCATTCTAGTATGGTTCAGCGTATACAAATCAATAAACAGAATTAAGGTAAAATCAAGGTAAAAATCACATCATTTCAGTTGATGCAGAAAAGCCTTTGATAAAATTCAACATCCATTCACGACAAAAGCACTAAAGAAACTAGCTACAAAACCATTATACCTCAACGTAATAAAGACTATATATGACAGATCCATAGCCAGAATCATACTGAATGGGAAAAACTGATAACATTTCCTCTAAAATCAGGAATGAGACAAGGGGATCTATTTTTACCACTCCTGTTCAATAAATACTGTACTTGATATTTTAGAGCAATTAGGCAAGAGAAAAATAAAAGGATACACATAAAGGAAGAAGTTAAATTATCTTTAGGTTTGCATTTAAGAGGGTGCAAGATTTAAATGATCTGATGTAGTTAGATATTTTAAGAAATATCCTTTTACATAATTTTGTAGCAATTGTCTTGGGATAGTAAGGGCTGTAATTTAGTATGTAAACAATATACAAAATGTTAACACGTGAAATATTTTTAGTATACTAAGACTTTGATTCCAAGTATTTCTTTTTTTCTTATGGGAAAAGACATTAAAAGTGAAATATAAACGTTTATTCTTTTTTGTTTTGTTATTGCCTTCTCATGACTACTCCCTGAATTTTACCATGCTTAGCTCACTGCTACTACCAGTCTAGTGGTAGTTCTTCTTCTGAATTTTGATAGTTTTTGATCAGTCCTTTTGTTTGATACTTACTTATGACATTTAATTATTAGCTATCTCGTCTATATACATATCTCTTACTTGCTCTGTCTGTTAAGATCCTTTAAGGAAAGATCTATTTCTTTGTATCTTATAGTATCTATCACACAGCTAAGTAATAAATATCAATCAATTGATTGCGGTAATTAATAGAACTAACCAGATAATATTTCTCACTTGTTATTCTTAGTACAAATATGTATAAAATTTCTATACTTTATCTTAGTGTAATATTAAATTTTTATTTGATTATTGAGGATTACTTCTCTTTATTATTCTTAATATAAATTTTCGATTTTAGATCTGTAGATAGGGACATGGACAGCATAAGGTAGTAGGACATACTTTCCATTCCTATTCATCATGAAGAATACCTAAAACTAGTTAATCTCTTGAAATACAAATGGTAAAGATAATTATGAATTTGGGTGGAGATGGAATGATATTACTAGGCTAACAGCATGTGGAACTACCTTAAGTGGCATTCTGGGAAGAGAGATAAATGGCAGTACTGAAGACATACAGTGATTATCTTACCCCTTGGTAAAAAGTGTACTTATTTAGCTAGCCTGCCAGCAAGGCAGTATATTCTACATTTCAACTTCTGAAACCTTTAACCAAAAATTTAATCTCTTCAAATGCATACCATTATAATCAGTTTTTTCTCTATAAAGAACTCTCAATTAAACCTAATTTCTTTTTTTTTTTTTTTTGGTACCGGAGATCGAACTCAAGTCCTTGCGCTTCTGCAGCAGGCGGTGAAACCACTGAGCTAAATCCCCGGCCCTAAACCTAATTTCTTTTAAAGATGGTCTACCCTTCTGTTCTTGAACTAACTAGTTCAAACTGTCCAGAAAACAAAATTGTTATGGAAGGTGTTTTTCTGTGTAATTGTTATAATGATGTTGCATTTTGATATCATTGAGGAATGAACTAAATAAAGACTTACTTACTCTGTTAATATTATGTGCTTACAATATATTTCCTTAGATGTTAATTGGAAGGTCACAAAGGTCATCAGATTGAGCTTCAGTGTTCAATAACTTCATGAATTATTTTCATGACTTGATAAAAAGTCTTGCTAAATAATTTTATCAGAAATATGTTATCTCTTGATAGTTACTAATGATAATCTTTTGGTTGTATTTAGATTAATTTAAAGTTTGGCATCAGAAAACCAGAGGCTCGGACAGGGACTGAGACAGATACCTGTACAGCTTGTGCAGGTACCTTGATCCTTGAGTTTGCTGCTTTAAGTCGATTCACTGGAGCAACAATATTTGAGGTTTGCTTTTCATGGTCTTTGATCTTCTGGGTATTGGGCATAAGTAACTATATATTTGATTCCCATTGGTTAGGCATTAGGATGATCCATTGGAGGATTACTGTTTTTTAATGAACTTTTTATCTGAATTCCATTACGTAGTTTTTGATTGTCAGAAACATAAAAGTCATTGTGAGGCAGCCACTGTTAATACAACTTTGCATTTGTTCACAAACTATGAAGTAAAATTTTAGTTCATTCTTAGAAGATTATGTATATCATATAAATTTGGTAGCTCCTTGATATCATCGTTGTCTAATATGAAGTACTATATCTGTTTCATTTATTAGAAATCCAAATAGTTGATTGAATTTCTGAAACCTTCACTAATCTAAAACAGTGAAATTTTTGCATTTAAATCTTGATTGAAAGTCTAATCTGTAAATTTGTTTACTCAAGTTGAAATGTCATTCGTTTTCTAAAACCCTTACTATCCCCCACATAGATTTTCTGGTCCAGGCATTTCTCACATTTAGAAAAACAACTATTTAACCATGTCATTGGAGTGCAGTAATTATATAAATAGCTTCTTTAAAAATATATGACTTGGGTGAATTTTTAAAATTTCAACAACATACAGAATAGAAATAAGGGAATATATATATATCAGCATTTCAGACGTTGGATCTGAATGTAGTAAAAGTAGAATGATCTTTGTGTAGTTTTTTGTATACAAATGTTTGAAGGGCAGATTTGTGCTTGATTGGTTTATCTTTTAAACTAAAATTTTTATTCTATACCTAGTTGATAAATGTTACCTTTCACTAAAGAATCTAGATATTTTGCATGCTTATAAGTGTGAGCTGTAAGTTCTCTAAGATAATGATCCATTTACAGATGAAGAAAATCAGACTCCAAGAGGACAAGAGAGCTGGGCACAGAGGCACACACCTATAATCCCAGCTACTTGGGAGACTGAGGCAGGAGGATCACAAATTCAAGGCCAGCCTTGGCATTTTAGAGAGACCCTGTCTCAAAATAAAGAGTTGGGGCCAGGTGTGGTGGCATGCACCTGTAATCTTAGTAATTTGGAGGCTGAGGCAGAAGGATTGCTGCAAGTTCAAGGCTAGCCTGGGCTACCTAGTGAGTTCAAGGCCAGCCTGAAGTATCAAGTGAGACGTCTCTCAAAACCAAACCAAAACAAAACAATGGATGAGGGGATGGTTGAGGATATAGCTCAGTAGTAGAACAATTGATAGCATAGTGCAGCCTTAGGTTTCATCCCTAGTACTGAAAAAAAAAAGAATCCATGTCTCTCTGAATTCAAAACTCATGTTCTTTCCACTAGCTATTTTTTGTTTATGAGTAAATCTGTTGACAATCATAATTTTTTAAACTTTTTGAATTTGCAGTGTTTTATTTTCAGAGAAGCAAACCGATGTAGTTGACAGAGTATTGATCTAATAGAAGATTGGAAAGGTTTGGCTACAGTCTGTGAGCCAAATCTAGCCACTCCCTATTTTTGTTCAAAAAGAAAGTTGTATTGGAACACAGATATGCTGAGTTATTTATTTTTCTCAGTGGTTACTTTGTGTTACAGTGACAGAGTTGAGAAGTTGTGACCAATGACAATATGACCGTGATCCTTAAAATATTTACTATCTGGCCTTTGTAAGAAAGTTTGCTGATGCTTGGTGTAATATATAAAGAGATTTGATTTTTTGTATTACTTATCTTATAATTCAGTTTTAAGTTTTAATTAAGTCATTAATTTCACTGGGCACAGTTTTTAACTGTAAAATAAGAATAGGAAAGTATAGTCTGTACCAAGCTTTCTGGCTCTGAAATTCTATCACGTAGTTAAAATTGTAATCTGCTTTGTTTAAAAAAAACTCAGCATAAGTAGGTTGAAAGAACAATTAAAACTATCTTATACTCTATTTTTAAATCTACAAAGTAACAAATTAGTTTAATGATTCTTTTGTTTTATAGTAGTACTTCTACAATGCTAAATAGGTTCTAAATTTAATGTAGTAACTTACCTTATACATGCCCTTTGCTTTTACATTTTGTAACATTTTTATCTAAAACCAAGAATTTAATTAGATTTTCATTTAGTGTCCAATGGATAAAAATAAATGAAGAAAAGATTACCGTAAGATTTTGAGTTTGTTTTTGATTAGCCTAGTTGATATACTAACTTTCCACTAACAAAGTTGCGTATCATCAAATGTAGAATCTGAACTGTTCCAAAGATAGTATACCAACTTTGAAATTCTTTCAGTTTTCTGAATAAGAGTATTTAAGGAGAATTTCACTTTCCATTTAAGTTATGGAAATTACTTTAACAAATGCATTTAATTATGCCAGTGGCTAATATAATTTAATAATACATGTGTAAGAATGTGCAACTGAACCTCAGGATTGATGAACATGGATGGTCTTAAAGTGAGATCACTGCCAGTTACATAGTATTTGCTCAGCCCTTCTTAACTAGACCAGCTGAAAAGAATCAAGATATGACTTTAAGGAAATTTATATTACAAATGATTATCTTAGGAATTTTACTTAATTCTTAAAATATCCTATGGGCCTTTGTTTTCTTTCCTTTTTGTTTCCTGTCAAGACGTGTGCTTCTTCAAGTACGTTTTTCTTTTTCTTTTGAAAATTAACTTTATTGGTACATTTTAGGTATACATTATGATCACATTCATCATTGGAAATTTGTACCTGTACATGCTATATCTTAGTTCTTGTTTTTTCCATTCCCCTTTCCTCCCTTCCACCCTTCTCCATTTACAAAAGCTTTGTTTCCATTTTTTCCTTCTTTTCTCATATTTATTCCTTTCCCTTGTTTCCTTTCTCCTACCCCTTCCACTTCCCCTTCCCCTTTGGACCTTTTCTTCCTATTTCACATTATTATACGTTTTGATCCTTATTTACACGTTCAGTTTCTCACACCAGAGAAACTATTTGGTATTTACACGTGTGTCCTATTTATTTCACTTAAGAGTATGGCCTCAATGTGCATCCATTTAGCTATAAGTGTCTCTAGTTTCTCATTCTTTATGGCTGAGTAGTACTCCATTTTATTTTTTAAAACCCATGTTTATCCAGTCACCAGTTGATGGACATTTTGGTTGTTTCCAAGATTTAGCTATTACAAACTGCTGCTATAAACACAGGTGCACATATATCGCTGTGTTTTCTTTTTAATTGTAGGAATATGCAAGAAAAGCTCTTGATTTTCTCTGGGAAAAAAGACAGCGAAGTAGTAATTTAGTGGGCGTGACTATCAATATTCATACTGGAGATTGGGTACGAAAAGGTATGTAAATTGGGCTTCTAAAATCAAACTTTCACATCCCCAGAATGGTCGAGAAATAAAGGATTTTTATTTGTTAAAATAATCTTTGGAATAGTATTCTGTTTGATACCTTAATGGTTATACCATTATTGGTATAGGGTATGGATGAAACACTAGAATTAATTTCTTTGAGACTAGAGGATCAGAGTACCTCAGACATTACATTACACATTACGATGTATTTTAGTGGATATATTTAATGATGTTATTAGCAATTTTATGCCCCCCGAAGTAGATTATTTTATTAGTAGTTAAGAGCATAGATTCTGGAGCCATATCGTTGGAATTCAAGCTGTGTGAGCTTGGGGAAGTTATTTAACTTCTGTTGCCTTTCTATCCATATCAGTAAAATAGAATTATTATGAGGATTAAATGAGTTTAACATAAAACACTTTAGCACACTGGCTGGCATATTTTATACTTACTGTAAAGTGAGTGTGCACTGTGAAGTTAGTCTCTATGATTAATAATTTTACTTTTGGGAATCTAGCCTAAGGAAATAATAAAAACCATTTTTGTACCCAAAGATGTTCATCACATAATTGCAATATTGGAAAACTGAGACAGTCTTAGTGACCATCAATGAACTAATAGCTAAGAAAATTGTTTTACTCAGTATTGGAATATTAAGTAATTTAATGAATTAGAAACAAAGAAAGAAACATACAACAATGTTATATGAACAAATAGGACATGGTATTGTATAAATATGATTTTGTTTATAAAATGCTCTTTTAAAACAAGCATTGAATGGAAATACCTGAAATATTCCTGATAAGATTATCTTTCTTACACATTTTTCCATTTTCCAAAAGGCTTATCTTATTTATAGATAATAAAAAGTAATTGTCTATAGTTAAGTAAAAATTATTTAACTATTAAGTTGAACATATTAAAGTTATTGTCTCTGTTTAATATTATAAATTTTTTTGTAAGTTTTATCTAAGGGGTTTCTGAAAGAGATCTGAATGTTGTCTTTAGGATTCTGCATTTTTCCCCATTTTTTAAAGCCCATTATGGACCTCAGATGTAAGTTAATTAGTCATAATTAATTTTAATTAACTGTACTCTTTAACTTATGACATGACACTCTTATCATTAGTCTGTGCATGGCCCATTTTCTTCAGCTGTAGTCATAAAAACACCCACCAGTGAATCATTCATTGTCACTTACTTGATAGCATACTAGTACTATGTATGGTCCTCAATTCCCCCTCCTTTGTAATTCCAAACCTCTGCCTCTTCCCAACTGCAGTAACCATCGTTATGTTGATCATTCTTTTGCTTTCCCTTTAATCAAGCTGTATTGCATTCATAGGTAGTCCTAAAAAGCATATTGTTTTGTTTTAAATTTTATTAAAGGCTACCACATTATATGTACCCTTTTGAGACTTTTCTCTTAATATTTTATTCCTAAGAATCATGCATATTATTGCATGAAATTGTGATTGTTTTTTGACTGTTCTGCTGTATGTCATTTTACTAGTCTAATAAACCATGGTTTACGGGGATTTAAGGTTGTTTGTGGGATTTTTTATTGTGAAGAGTAGTGTTGTGAATGTTTTTGTAGTTGCTCCTCTTGTACGTGTATATGAATTTCTCTTGACTGTATAACTATGAGTGAAGTTTTTAGGTCATAGAATAAGTTAATGTTCGGCTTTAGAAGATAATATCAGATTGTTTTCCAAAGTTATTTCACCTTTATACTTTCTCTAGCAATATATAAAAGATCTATAGATTGACATCCTCTTTTTTATTGTACTGGGGATTGAACTCAGGACCTTGTGCCTGCAAGGTGGGCGCAGCACCACTGAGCTAAATCCCCAGCCCCTTGACATCCTCTTAAACGCTGTAGTTTTAGACTTCTAAGTTTTTTAGTTTTTGCCACCTTATGGGTGTGCAAGTTATATCCTATTATGGTTTGATTTGCATTAGTTTGATCACTAATGATGTGGAACACTTCTTCATATTTATTGGCCATGTATGTTTTCTAAATTTTGAATACTCTTGAATTTTTTTCATATTTGTTATTGGGTTAACTCGTAGTTTTGAAAAAAAAAATTGTAAAAATTCTTTATATAGTCTTTTTCTTTCTTTCTTTCTTTTTTGTTACCAGGAATTGAACTCAGGGCCTTGCACTTGCCAGGCAGACGCTGTGCCCTGAGCCACATCCCCAGCCCCTATATATTCTTTTGTTTTGTTTTTTTTTTTTGGTACTGGGGATCGAACTGGTCCTTGCAGAGGAACCACTGAGCTAAATCCCCGGCCCTATATATTCTTGATATTAATTCTTTATTGTATTGCAGATCTTCTTCAAATTTACAACTTGTATTTTCACTTTAAATTCTTTTTAGTATTTAATTTTTAATATAATAACATCAGTCTTTTATGATTAAAACTGTGTCTTATTTAAAAACCTATTTTTCTTAATCAGAGGTCTAAAATTAGGTATTCACTTTGATATTAACAGTTTCAAAGTTTTGTTATTGAAGTTCTTGAACCATCTAGAGTGGATTTGTGTTTGTAATGTAAGATAAAACTTTCCACAAATTTCTTCTTTCTTTGAATTTTTAGCAGTGTTTTTCACTACAAACATGGAAGGACATTAAAATTTTAAATAGTATTTATAATTCAAAAACCTGTTACATATGAGACACTTAATATCCTGTATGAAACCTATTCTTTGAAATAAATGTTCTTTTTGGCCTAGGCCATCATCAGTTTTTTGTAAATATTCCATATGTGCTTAAGAAGAAAATATATTTTTTTTCTAATTGTTGGGTATAGAATTCTATGTGTCGCTTTGCTCAGGTATTAATAATGTTATCTCGGTCCTACTACTTTTCTGTTTACTTGATCTATCAAGAATAAGAAAAGTAGGGCTGGGGATTGAGCTCAGTGGTTCTACTGCCTGCCTCACAAGTGCAAGGTCCTGAGTTCAATCCCTAGTACCAAAAAAAAAAAAAGAATAAGAAAAGTAGATGAAATTTCTAACAGTGATCCTTTTATAGTTCTTTTCTCACTGTATATAATCTGTTCAGTGCACTGGGCTATTTTGTTGGGTCCTTTTATGTTATTTTAAATACACACATGCACATAACGCATGCAAGCACTCTTGTAAAGCTATGCCCCCTGCCTGGGTGCATTTGTTTTGAAAGGCTATCTCTTTTTCAGTTGAACATTTTCTTTTTCTTTTCTTTTGGATATAGGGCAGCCTCACTGTGTAGTTCAGGGTGGCCTTGGACTCACTATGTAGCCCAAGCTAGTCTCGAACTCACCCTGATACTCCTGCCTCAGCCTCCGAGTGCTGGGATTACAGGCGTGCGTTGCCACACCTGGCAGTAAACACTGTGTTATTTTGGAGTGACTCTCTCTGTTTCTCATAATATTCTATTTGAAGTTTATCTGATAGTAATATAGCTATATCAGCTTTATCTTACACAGTACTTGCCTTATATATTTTCTTCCATCCTTTTACTTTCAGTCTTTACAGATTGCTTATACTGTGTGTCTTTTGAAAAATTACACATCTTTAAATCTGTTTTGTCAGTCTTTGAATTGGTGAGTTCAATACATTTACAGCTATTGATATTTTTAATATATTTGAACTTTTTATACTGTTTGAATCTGATTTCATTAAATCCCATCTTTTCCATTTCTTTTTATTTTTTTATTGATACCTATATTTACCTCCTAAAAACATAAACTTTATTATGCTTTCCTATTTCTTTGTCTCCTGCTTCCCCAATCTCTATCTTCTGTTAAACTAATAAGATAATCAGTATTTAGTTGTTACCTTTTCTCTTGTTCTTTTGTTCTTGGTGTTCTCCTTACCTTCCATCTATTTGAAGGTAACTAACTTTCTCAAGGTATTTAGTTATTTGTACTTGGAGTATTGCTTATAACATTTTCTAGGTTCATTTCTTATCTGTAGTTCTGTTTTCACAGATTAAACCAATTGTGGATTGAAAATATTCAGAAAAAATTTGTACTGAATATGTACAAACTTCTTTTTTCTTTTCATTATTCCCTAAACAGTACAGTACAACCACTGTTTATATAGCATTTATATTGTATTAGATGTTATAAGTAATCTAGAGATGATTTAAAATACATGAGAATGCACATAGATGATATGCAAATTTTGTACCATTTTCTATAAGTGGTTTGAGCATCCTTGGATTTCAGAGAGTCCTGAAACCAATCTTCCACAGATACTGAGGGGTAGTTATAGTTCATCCCAAACTGTTTTCAGTAGGGGTCTTTGTTTGTTTTTTTGAAGCAAGGTCTTGCTATATAGTTATATAGCTATATACTTAAAGCTAGCCTTAAACTGACTATGTAGCTCAGGCTGGCCTAGAACTCATGGCAATCCTCCTGCCTCATCCTCCCTCCCGATGGGATTACAGGCATGAGCTACCACACCCAGCTTCAGTAGTTTTTAATTGCTGCTGCAGCCTTTTATGCTTAACAGTAGTTTTAATTTTTTCACATTTGAGTGATAGTTTGATTGTAATTTATGGTTTATTTTCCTTCAATTTTTTAAAAAATACAACTTTATTGTCTTCTTAAATCCTGTAAATAATGTGATATTCTAATTTTTATATTGTTATATGTATTCTATCTTTCTCTGTATAAGATTATGATATCAAAGAGAAATTTCTAGCTGGGGATAGTTGCACATGCCTGTCATCCCAGCTACCTAGGAGGCTGAGGCAAGAGGATTGCAAGTTCAAGGCCAGCCTGGGCACCTTAGCAAGGTCCTGTCTCAAAATAAAATAAAATAAAATAGGGTTGGAAATAAACGTTCAATCCCCAAGTGTAGGTGGAGATTTTCCTGTGTCTCTCCTTTGGTATTGTGTGGGCCCTTTCCATTTAAAATCTTTGTTTTTAATTGCTAAAAATTCATCTTTATTATTTAGACAGTTTATCTTTTAAATTTTTATGTATCTTTTTACAACTTTTGTTAGCGAAATCACTATCATTTCTATTTTTATTCTCTATATATCTTCATTTTTTAATATCTCTTGCTTGTTTTTTTTTTTTTTTTGGCACCAGGGATCGAACTCGGGTCCTTGGGCTTGCGCAGCAGGTGGCGAAACCACTGAGCTAAAATCCCCAGCCCCCCTATTGCTTGCTTTTAAATAAGACCTTTGTAGCCAATTTTGCAAAGTCAATCTTTTTTTTTTTTTTGTCAGTACCAGGGATTGAACTCAGGACCTCACGCTTGTGAGGCAGACATGGTACCACTGAGCTAAATGCCTGGCCTGGAAAGTCAATTTAAAAAAGAAAAATTATCAGCAAGTTAATTATTATTCATATTGTAAAGTTAATATTTTTGTCAATGTGTCATTTTTACTTTAAACAGTTTCATGCTTAGACTAGTTTTTCATTCTTGGTGTACTAGTACCCTTGTTTATATTCTATTAAGAATTTTTAAGACTTAATGAAGGATCATATTTATTTGTATTTTCTACAGATAGTGGAGTTGGAGCAGGAATTGATTCATATTATGAATATCTGTTAAAAGCTTATGTCTTGCTTGGAGATGACAGTTTTCTGGAAAGATTTAATACAGTAAGTTTATAAAATCTTGTGTTAATTTTATAGCCAATTTTATTTAAGTTCAGATTTTGATAGAAATTCAATTACCTGAGTGACAGTCTGAAAGCAGTTGGTTTTTAAATGTGCCGTAATATTTTGTCAGTATTCCCTGACAGTGTTGGAGAGGGAGGGGGCTACGTTCAATTCCAAAACATTAGTTTATAAAGTAGGTGGTTTTTATCTTTTATCTGAAATTTCTGGATCTGCCATTAGGGATAAAAATATGTAGATTTGAGGTGGGGTTTTTTTGTATATCCTTTTATTGGTACATTTTAGATGTACAATATAATGACATTCATCATTGGCTATATGCACCTTTACATAATCTCTCTTGGTTCTTATTTTTCCCCATTCCCATGCCCTCCCTTCAACCCCTCCATCCCTCCTTATTTACAAAGACTTTGTTTCCTTTTTTTCATTTTCTCGTATTAATTCCATTCCCCTCTTTCCTTTCCCCTACCCCTCCCACTTCCCCTTCTCCTTTGCCCCTTTTCTTCCTATTTCACATTATCTATTATATGAGGTATTTTTTTTAATATAAGAAGGATAGTTATTGAAACATGTTATAGTTAGCAAGTAAGTAATCCTATTTGCCTGTATTTCTCTACAAAATGAGAGTACTAGTACTATTTATAGGGTTATTGGACAAATTAAATGAGCTTACTGTATGAAATGATTAGAACAGTGCCTCAGTATGTGGCAGGCACATAGTAATAGTGATTAAATAACACATGGTAGCAAAACAAAAACCTATTAAGAGTTCTAATATATCAATTAAATACTATCACATGTTTATTAGATATTAATAGGGTGTTCTTGAGGCAAATTAGGACAGATAACTATTTTTGTTGAGTTAGAAACACAACTCTTCCTGTGTTTAATGCTGAGAAATAACTAGAAGATGAAAAAAAGAAAGAAAAAGTTTCTAAAAGCATAAAAGGCAGAAATAGCAGACCGTAAGAGTGATAATAGCGATTAGATGCATTAGTTTCAGTAGTGGTGAGCACCAGAATATTTTGTTATGAGAAGAGATCTAATTTCCTCTACCCAGGAGGAAACTAATTCTTTACTGTAGAATTCTGTTATCTGTATTCCGAGGAGGCCTAAAAACATGATTGGGATACAAAGCTATACTGACCATGGGCCAATCTCATAGGAGACAGGGATGTTCAGATCTATTCCCTTCAGAGCATCCTATATTAAATATAGTCTTTAATGTTCTGCATTTGACTTCAACAATATGTGAATATATATGCTTTAGAAAAATTTCCATCTAAAATAAATATTTACAGTTAATTGACAAATAATAAATTTATTTGTAAATGCATTAAATTCAAGCTTAATTTCTTCACTGTCCTATTTAATGTGTTTAGAGTAGTACATCTTCCTTCATCTACTTTCGTGAACACATTGTTGTGATCTTTTAGCACTATGATGCCATAATGAGGTACATTAGCCAGCCACCTCTTCTACTCGATGTGCATATCCACAAACCAATGCTGAATGCTCGGACTTGGATGGATGCTTTGCTTGCCTTTTTTCCAGGTTTACAGGTATAAAGAACTTTATCTTCTTAATATTAAAATAAAATTATTTTAATTAAGTACATTTCTTATCTCTAAAATTGAATGACAAAATATAGTCACATTCCAAAGTTGTATTAATATGAAAATTTCTGTATATATAATGTTATAGATAACATTAACTTATATTTTATTAGATTATTTTATTTTTGTCATTGACTTCAGGTTTTAAAGGGGGATATCAGACCTGCTATTGAAACTCATGAGATGTTATACCAGGTGATTAAAAAACACAATTTTCTACCAGAGGTAAGCAATTAATCCTTTAAATTGTCATTTACATATATAGTATAAATTGCTAATTTAAAGATAGAAAATGTCATGTTTGTTCTTTATTTTTTGTGGTTATTTAGTTATTTTTGGTTTATACAGAATTATACATGGTTTTGCTTTTCTTCATGTGTTAAGAGAAGTGTAATTTAGGAAAATGTAATTAATTTTATTTTAAAACAACCCTCCCACTTAGTGTCTCTCAAACCTTTCTAACTCATGACATTGCAATCCCCCACTCCTTTATTTATTTCTGTGATATTGGAGATTAAACCCAAGGCCTTACCATGGTAGGCAAGCTTTCTACTACTGAGTTACAACCCCAGCCCTAATCATTCTAACTTTTACACATACTCACCTTGCAAAAATGCTTTGTGATTTTAGCAATGAAAATTGATGTTTTATAGATGAAAAGATATCATGATTGATATGTTAATTACTTTTACCCTGTATAATTTAATATATACTTCTATATATTCTAGAACTACTTGTTTATTTTTAAATCACATTTTATGCCTTTTTGTATGACTTTTTTTACAGGCATTTACTACAGATTTCAGAGTACATTGGGCTCAGCATCCTTTAAGGCCAGAATTTGCTGAAAGTACCTACTTCTTATATAAAGTAAGATACTTTACCTTTCTTTGTTTTTAGCCCTCATTCTCTGTTGGATCTCTTAGTCCTCTATAATAGAAACTTGTATTTAATGTTATGGTTGGATGTATCACAGTTTATATTCATCTGGCCCATAGAGTTATTGAAAGATACAAGACTTGGGCTGGGAATTTAGCTCAGTGGTTCCACCGCCTGCCTCGCAAGCGCAAGGTCCCAAGTTCGATCCCCAGTACCAAAAACAAAAAAAAGGGGGCCCGGGATTTAGCTCAGTGGTTCTGGCGCATGCCACACAAGTGCAAGGTCCCAAGTTCGAACCCTGGTACCAAAAAAAAAAAAAGAAAGATACAAGACTTGACATATATATTTTATGCCTGTCAAAAATATTTGTGTAAACACATTTTAAAGAGAAATTTTCATCCTAGAGCTGCTTTGTAAAGTATATCTCTTGCCTTTCTTTAATCAGGCAACCTTTTGGGGCATTAGAAATCTAATCTAATTGCTAAAATTTACAGTTAAACAACTTTTCAGTTGTTGGTTTAAGAAATTCTGCAAAGCAGATCCAGGGCTTATTTTCAGATGTAGGTAGGTTCTATGTAACATGCATTCTAGTGCCTGACACAGTGGCTGGCACCTAGTAATACTCAATAAATATTTAGTAAATGAATAGATGTGTGGTAATATATAACCTATATATATATGTGTGTGTATATTCTTTTTAATAGGCTACAGGAGATCCTTACTACCTTGAAGTAGGGAAAACACTTATTGAAAATTTAAATAAGTATGCTAGAGTGCCTTGTGGATTTGCTGCCATGAAGGATGTTCGTACTGGAAGTCATGAGGACAGGTAAAACAATTACTAACATGCCCTTTCCTCAGGTTACTCTGAACCAGCACAGAATACAGCTACTTGTGAGGATTAAATAAGTTTAATGGTTTGACAAAAGGGTATTTGAAAATGCAAACCTTAGTTCATGGTGTTTATTTTTCTTCAACTCTTTTTGAATAAACTCATTTTAAATTATTTGAAAAGTTTGTACTATAGTGCCTGGCATGTAGTAGGTGCTGAAATGATTTTTAAATGATGAATGATTGTTAAATATCAGAACGCTGGTATAAGAGTATTAGAAATATTGTTCCTCCCCCCATTAAAATATTAGAAATCATCAAGATGATGGGGAAAGGTCTGGATTATAATTCATATTCATCAAAAATTCCTCAAAAATATTACAATATGTGTACTCTTACTTTTCTTCTGTCTGGAGAGGTGGGTAAAACCAGTGATAGTTCCTATACTAGGAAATAGGGACAGCAGAAAGTACTCAAGCTATGAAAAGCTTGGTCAGTGTGATAGTCACTGATACTCCAGTTATTCCAAGATCATTTACCTGGTTATCACATCTCAGAATGAATGCTTAAACTTTGTTTGTTTGGTTAGCAAATGTCCATTCCATAATATTTACTGAGGCCCCCTTTTGTGCTAGCATACTAATTTTTGAGGGTTACAAATAGAAAGACATGACCTTTATGTCATTGAATCACTGAGAACAGGCACATAAACAGACTTTTAAGATGTTATATAAGTACTTTGAAACATAAGAAAGACATGAAATGCAAGTTGGCATATGATGATCACTGAAAGATTCCTTGAAGTCCTGAGTCCTGATGGATGAGCAAAAGTGAGAGGATGGAAGAAGTTTCAGGCAGAGAAACTAAAGACATGAGGTTGTCCCTTAGTACTTCATCAGAGTATTTGTGTGATGGTTCATTAGGCTTGGAACCCCTTTCCCTGACCATAGCTGATGAGAAATGGGAGGTTTCTAGAAACAGGCATACAGGTAACAGCAAAAAATGAAAGCCGATATCCTGTGTGTTGTCTGTAACATTTATTGACTATTTCCTATACCTTGGATACTCTTGTAAGCATTTTGTATGTTTAACTCATTGGTCCTTTACAGCAGCCCTCTGAAATGTAATTCTATTATAATCTTCATGCTAAAGATGAAGAAAACAGGGTAAAGAGAAGTTAAGTAACTTGCTGAAGATCACACAGTAAGGCTAAATTCAGAATTCTAATGAACGCTTTGGCTTTTGACAGCTGTATTATATTGGCAGTGCATTTAGAGAACAATTAAGAACCTCTTACGTGCCAGGCACTGGGCTTCGGTGTGAGGGTGGGAATCAGAATGAGCTCTTGCCCTGTCGTGGCTTGTGAGTAGTGAGTAGGAGAGGTGCGTGAAGAAATAATTGCAAACATACGATAATGTACTTTAGTAGAAAAGGGATAATAAGTTGAGGAATTATGAAGGAAGGTACTGTTTACTCTGTTTAGAGAGTTCTCGATTTTAGAATTCCCTTTTTCCCCTCACCAAATATTCCTCTAATGATATTGTTTCTGGGACCTCTTACCTCTGGTTTGCCGTATTCTGATTGTATCCCAGTATATAGAACATTTCTTAAACTATCATGTCCATGGATTAGAGATGTAGCTCAGTGGAACAGTGCTTGCCCAGCATGCACGAGGCCCTGGGTTTGATCCCAAAACTCAAAATGAAAAATAAAAATCATCTTTAGAACTAACAATATGATGTACCCTACATAACAGCCCTGTAACTGTCTGTTCAGGCAAGAGATTGCTAATTTCTTGAGGGGTTAATAGGTTTATACCGTCTATCCAATTAAGGGCCACTGCTTCATCAACTCACTCTTCCTCATGGTGGTGCTTTACCTTTCAGATGTATTTGGCCCAACAGATATTTGAGAACTACAAATCTTCATTATACTGTGTTACTAGATATGCTTTAGGTTTATTAGCTTTATTAGGGAGCTTGTGATTATTCCCAAGTAGTCTCAGATACTTAACTATAGCCTGCTGACACATGGATGTTCTCCACCATACTTTGAGCAGCTATTTGTTGTTGTTACTGAGCCGCTGTTTTTTAATGCAAACTTAGAACTTTATATATAGCTCAGCAAAGTTTTACTTTGTTTAGTTTTCTCTTTCCAGTCCAGTGTCATTTTAGTAATCTAATCTCCTAAACTCTAGTTTCTAGTGATCTGCAAAGCATACCATAAGTTTTTTTCACCCAAATTATGGGAAAGAAATGTAGATAGGACCAGAACCAGAACCTCTTGGCATGGTGCTCACAAGCTCTCAGTTACAGGGTGTCTGCCTTTCGTTGCTTACTCTCCTCCACATCTATTGGTACCCTCTTCTGGCTCACTCGCACTCTCATGCAGCCCCCGCCCCCACAATTTTCGAAAGGAAAATTATCTCTATTTTCCTAATAATAGTTGATTACTGAAACAAATTTAAATGTAAAAGATTTCTGGCCAAGATTATTGTTATTAGCAATTTGATAGTCTTTCAAACACATAATGCCTATGTGTTTACATTTATGTATTTTTAATTTAAAATTTTATTTTTATTAGTATATATTTGCAGAATGTAATGCTTACATTCATCCTGGGGAGCTGGTGCATGCACATGTGCACACATCTTAATTCTTCTTATGTCCTCTTCTCCCTTCCCCCCTTCTCTCCATCTCTTGGTCTCCTTCTCACTAGCAAGATATGTTTGTGGTTTTTAAATACAAGTTAGATCATTTAATACTCTGCTTGCTAGCTTTACCTAATTCACATTTTAGTGATTTTACCATGTTTTACTTTTTCCTAAATATTCACAAATCATGTTTTATAATCAGTTCTCAAATTGGTCCAATATCAATATTCTGCTCATTAGTCTACAGTTCTCAGAATAACATTTGTTCATGATACTAGCTGTCAGTACTTCAGAAGAGATTAAATTATAAATGAATTGCAGGTTAACAGAAGTTTTTTATTGTCTATTTATTAATATCTAAAGTAGATAAAAGTTTTGAAACTTTACAGTGAGTTTTTATTCCAAAAATTTTAAAAAACTCATTTATGTAAGAGAAAGAAAAGCTGTAGTTTTCATCTCATACATATGCCAGGTGCTATGCTCAATAACTGACATATAGTAAGTATCTCATTTAGTCTTTACACAATGTTATGAGTGTACATATTATGTTCTTTTTACAGAGAATAAACCAAAACCACAGCCTTTATATAATACGTCAGTGGTCACAGAGCTAGTTGTGGAAGATATTTCTGTTTCCAAAGTCCATGTTCTTCACCATTATGGGCTATTGCCTCTCTGGCTCATTCTTTAGTAATCAGTTTATTTATTTATTTGGTACCGGGGATTGAACTCGGGACCTTGTGCTTGCGAGGCAGGTGCCGGAACCACTGAGCTAAATCCCTGGCCCTAGTAATCAATTTAGTAAGTGTTTATTAAGTGCCTACTATGTGCCAAGAATTGTGCTTGCCCAGAAGTGTGATATTATGCAGACTGCCCAGTAAACTACAAATTCTTACTGCCAAAATCTTAGATGCTGTTATGGCTTGTGTCTAGATGTCCCCCCAAAGCCTCATGCAGTCATAGGTATGGCTTTGCAGAAGTTGCTAGATCTAGAATGTGTGATGCTGGGATCAAGGATGTGTACTTACTAAGTTAGTCAACTGATTGGTTTGGCACACTTCTGGGTAGGATTAAGGGTGCCCCAACATTAGGGCAGATAGCCTAGATAGAATATAAGGGACAAAAAGAGCGTCGTCGCTTGTGACTGGTTGCTTGCTGCTTCTGCATCTTTTGCTGCTGATTTTCATCTGCTGCCTCCTGCCTGCTCTGTGATGCCCCTCTACCATGCTACCCTGCCTTGGATCCAGCTAACTATGGACTGAAACGTCTACAAACTGTGAGCCAAATAAACCTTTCCCCCTTTAACTTTGGATGTCAGGGATTTTGTCCCAACAATGAGCAGAATAACTAAAGACAGAATTTGGTACCAGAGAAGTGGGGTCATTGCTGTGACTCTACCTGACCATGGGGTTCAGGAGCCTTTGTAATTGGCTTGTGGGAAGAATTTGGAAAGGTTTGGAGAAACTGGCTAAAGAAGCAGCCCTGGAATGCCTTAACCTGTACTTGATGTTAGTTTCTGATCAGAGCTCAAAAGACCAGAATGCTGATAGAAATGCTGCCAGTAAAGACCAGGCTCAGATTTCTGCTGGAAAGAAGGACTGCATTGGCTGTTGGACTCCAGACGATATACCTGCTATACCTTGGCAGAAAGTTTGTCTGCATTTTGCTCATGTTCAGAAACTTTTCCTGAGGCTGAAATTAAGGGTAGCAGACTAATCTTGCAAAAGAAATTTCTCAGCATCTAATGTTGAGGCTATGGCATGGCTACTGTTGGGGGCTTTTAGCCAGATCTATGTTGAGAATTAAGAACAGAGTCCAGTAGAATGATTTAAAATGTTGTGAGTTTGGCCAGAAAGAAAGCTCCAGTAAAGCTGGGGACTGTAAAGATAGAACAGAGGAGAACTTGGTTGCTGAAAAGGAACAACACAATGGGAAAAATGGCCTGAGGACATTACAAGAAAGAGCCAGACTCCAGTCTTTGTAGCCTCAAGGTTGCAAAAGTAAAAGATTTTGCTTTGAGAAGAGAGCCCCAGAGCATCATGTTTGAGAATGGTGGCAGCCTAGAGAATTCATTCCTCGGGATTGGGTTCAGAGCACTCAGCAGTCCAGGCACTTGACCTCTACAGACGAGAGAAGGAAGCCTGGATACTGTTTTAGCTGGCAGTAGACGTTGGCATCATCCACTTAGTGCAGGTTTTAGGTGCATGCAGAATACAAGAGTTGTGGGGCCAGGAATACTTCCACCCAGATTTCAGAAGAAGGTCTGGGAGGCCAGGCAGTGTTCTCCTGAAAGGGCAGTTTGTAAAGCTGTGAGTATGAAGCTGAAGGTGCAGTGGAGACTCCAGAATGTTGGAGAAGCCACAAGCATGGTTCATCTGAGGAAAACTGCAAGGAGTAAACAGAGCTGGCCAAAGAGAGAAGCCATGGAAGTTACAACCACCAGAAGTACCATAAGGGTGGAGCCTCCCAAGCCCTTTGGAGTTCACAACTTGCCACAGATTGCTTGAGATTCTGGATGTGGAACTATGGGACTTAATGTTTTCCCTGCTGGATTTTGGTCTGGCTTTGTTCCATTCCTTTCTATCCCCCTCTTTGTACCTTTTGGAATGGAATTGTCTGTTTAGTGCCATTTATGTTGGAAGTGTTTAACTTTCTTTCCATTTGTACAGGGGCTTGTAGCTAAGAATTTGCGTTTAATCTCAGGAGACTTTAAATTTCGACTTTTCAGCAATCCTGAAACTGTTAGGACTTTGTCACTCTTGGAGATGAACTAAATGACTTTTGCATAAGGGGATGTGCACAAGTCTTTGAGGAACCAATGGAAAAATGCTATGGCTTGTGTCTGGATGTTCCCCAAAGCCTCATATAGCCATAATTTGGGCTTTTCAGAGATGGTTGGATATAGCATTTGTGATCAAGGGTGTGTGATTATTGAATTAGTTCACCGATTGGTTTGGCACAGTTCTGGATGTGGATAATGGGAAGGCCCAACCTGGGTGTGAGTGCTACCAACCCTAAGGGCAGATGGCCTGGATAAAATATAAGGGATAGGTAAAGGGCTGCTGTGGTCATCACTTATAGCTTGCTGCTTACTGCTTGCTGCCTTGCTGCCTTCTGCCTGCCATGAACTGTTTCTCTTCTGTGATGCCCCTTTACCATGCCACCCTGCCTTGCAGCCAGCCAACTATGAACTGAAACATCTACAAACTGTGAGCCAAATAAACTTTTCCTCCCCTAAATTTGGGTGTCGGGTATTTTGTCTCAACAGTGAGAAAAGTAACTAAGACAGATACTTTGAGAAGTAGTAAATTTAATTGACAGGTAGATACATATTTACAAAGTTATATAATACACATGACTTTGAGTTGTACTTCACATAACATTTTACAAGTGATTTTCTTTGCCTTTAAATGGCCACATAATAATCATCATCAAAGTCTTATGACTTTATCTAGTTCTGTTAATATTAGTTGAAAATTCTGCTATGGGTTTCACTCCTAAAATTCTTGAGTTACTTCTTTTCTGTTACTTCTCTGTAGCAGAAATAGGGAACTTTTCCTCTTTAGAAAAATCTTATCTGCATTGTTGGCAAGATTGAGAGTATGTGAGGTAGTATGCAGCTTCTCTTGTCTTTATTTCCTTGCACTGTGGTTGGAGTCAAGGTTATTCTGACACTGGGTGACTGGTGCATTCTTTAGTTTTTTGGACATCTGAATTGGTGCAGATAAGGTTGTTGAACTTGACTCTGGCTTTCAGATACTTAACATTTAGGTATTTCTAATGTTCTTATATTTATTTGTGACTTATTTTAGAATGGATTCTTTCTTCTTGGCTGAAATGTTTAAATATCTTTACCTATTATTTGCTGATAAAGAAGACATTATTTTTGATATTGAAGATTACATCTTTACAACAGAAGCTCATCTATTACCTCTTTGGCTCTCCACTACGAATCAGAGAGTCTCTAAGAAGAACACAGTACGTTTTTAAATTAAATGTCTTTTCTTTTTTTACTTTTACAAATTTGTTTTATTTTTCCGGGTAAAAAGTAATCTATGACTAGAATTCAATAAATATCTGTATGGTAAGAGAAATAGTACCTGTTTCTTATTTTCTTTTATTACATCCTTCAATCATTCTTATTAACAAAGCATAATGTTAAGTAATTTTTTTATTTACATAAAATTCTTTTATATTGTAGACCTCGGAATATACAGAACTGGATGACAGTAATTTTGACTGGACTTGTCCAAATACTCAGATTCTCTTCCCTAATGATCCACTGTATGCCCAGAGCATCCGTGAGCCCTTGAAAAATGTGGTGGATAAGAGCTGTCCTAGAGGCATCATCAGAGTGTAAGATGTACTGTTTTATATGTGTTAATATCAAAGTTAATTCTTAATGAGTGACAGAGAACTTAAGGAGCATATAACAACAGTCTTAAAAAGATATTCAGGTAGACCAAAAGTTAAAAAGATAATTACTTCTACCAAAAATATTGAAGTATATAGTTATCACTGATTAAAAGTTATTAGTAAAGTTAGACAGTAAAGCTTATTTTGTAGTAATTTTTATAATGGAAATTTTCTGTGTATTTTTTGTCTAATAGTAGTCAATGGGTAGCATATAATAGTTTTTAATTTCTGTAGCTTTTCAGGGTGGGGAGCAGTAGTGGGGTTTAAACCCAAGGCCTTCACACTGAACTACATTCCCAGCCCTTTTTATTTTTTATTTGAAGACAAGGTCTTGTTGAGTCACTAAGTTGCCTAGTCTGTGCTCAAACTTGTGACCTTCCTGCCTCAGCCTCCCAGAGTGCTGGGACTGCCAACACACTTACCATACCCAGCTCTGTAGCTCATTTTTATACAGAACAGTTTCATCAAGTATTTCCATGTCTTAGATGTGTAAGAAAATATTTTTCCTTATATCTATAGTTCTTGTGCAGTGAAGACACAATTTTTTATTTTGCTGTATTTTTATTTTTGGAGTTACTACTTATTAAATAAGTAAAAGTTATTAAATAAAAGTATTTTTGGCTTAAGGAGTTCATTTTTTCCAGATAGTTACATTAGAAAGGTCATTTCAAAGATTTTTAAAAAATTCAAGTGAACATTATCATTCACAGATACAGGTATTGCTTTGATTTTAAAATTTTGGGAGAAAGATCTGTGTTTTTATTGGAAGACAGCAATAGTAACAAATCCCCAAGCGAACTATTCTATACTTTCATGTAGATAGTTACAATACTCTTGATTAAAGCTGCCTTATACAGATAATATACATGGTTTTGTAACTAGAAAATATATTTCAAAGCTTTACTGATAACTGAAATAATATGTAGGAAAATACCTGTTTTCAGTTACGCTAGTTTCACTAGTTTTAAAATTAGCAGTTTTGAAAATATGTAATGTTATTTTTATTTGGCTCACGTTTTTTACTAGTTCTAATTTGTATTTTTTTAAAGCCTTACCTCTAATTACTTTTAGCAGAGAGGAGAGTTTCAGGAGTGGAGCTAAACCCCCTCTAAGAGCCAGAGATTTCATGGCCACTAATCCCGAGCATTTAGAAATCCTGAAGAAGATGGGGGTGAGTTTGATTCACCTGAAAGATGGAAGAGTCCAGCTGGTTCAACATGCAATCCAAGTAAGACATTGCTATACTAATTAGATACCATCTTTTCTATGTCCCTTTTGGTTTCCTTACCTTTAATAAGATTTGACTTTTTAAAAAACCTTTACAGTTTAAAGAATCAGAATTTTGGATTTGGAAGCATCTTGGAAAGTCATTTAATTCAACGCCCTTGTAGTATAAATCAATTAAATCAGGTTGAGTAGTTTGCTTATGTTAATATAATCCAAGATAGGACTCAAATCTAGAATTTCTACTTCTTAGTCCATTGTCTTTCCACTATTACTTTTATTTGGAGCATAATTTTATATGTTAGTAACTAGTTTTAATATTTATATCTCAGTGTTTCAGATTACTTTCTCAAAAGCACTGACTCTTAAGTATTTCTTTTGTCAAACAAATCAGTTTGTGCCTAGGAAAGATAACATGCCTTTTGGGGAAAAACTTTTAATTTAAAAGTTTTTATAACATAAGAACTTTAAATTATTTACCTTCATTTTGAGAGAACTATGTAGTTTGCTGAGTAATTGCAACTTAGACCTGGATTCAGGTATCCCTTAATCTCACCTTCCCTCAATCTCACCATTCCCTCGCATTTTTATCTCCTCTGTATTCTTGTTACATCCATCCTTCATTAAAAAAGTGTTCTTCCTTCTTGCTTATGTTTCACTCACCCTCTGTAATAGTGAAATGGCATCTCTAGCTTGCACTTGGGCCACTAATGATGTAACTGCCCTCAACTAACTTTTAAATTCTTTATAATTTAACTTCTATATGACTGTTAACTGATCCCTTCTTATGACATTTTCCTTTCTTGACTTCTAGGACATTCCAGCAGCATAGTTTTTGTTTTGGTTTTTTTTTCTTCTCTGCTCATTGCTTTGTAGATTTCTTTGTAATGCTCCTTGCTTAGCATATCTGTTCACTGTAGGCACTACCTAAGAACACGGATAACATTCTATTCTCTCTTCTTTTCAACAGTCTTTCCTGTTTCTTTCTTTTTTTTCCCCTTAAATTCTTTTATTGGTACATTTTAGGTAAACAGTACATTTACATTTATCATTGGGTGCTTGTACCTGTACATGATGTATCTTGGTTCTTATTTTTTTCCCCATTACCTGTGCGCCTTTC